TGTATACAATTGGTGTAAGCTCAACGACATGTCACTTAATATCGACAAATGCTGCTTCATGCGCTTCACCCGCCTGATGAATACTATACCTGTGGAATATTCCATTAATAACGTTGCTCTTACTGAGGTGATTATTGTTAAGGACCTTGGCGTGATTTGATATAAACTTTTTTGCAATAGTATTGAACTTGATAATGATCAGACTATGTTATACCTCGACTTAGCATCTCTTGTTCGCAGAAGAGAATACTATGACATATGCTTTGCATTTAATGTTCTAAACCACTATATCAAGAGTCTAGAATGTTTGGGAACTTTTCGATTTCTTATACCTGGATATCCAACACGTAGGCAGACCTTGATGCATATACCAACTTGCAATTCTTGGTACTTATTGTATAGTCCTGAACAGAGTATCAGCAGATGTGAATAAGTTTTGTGAGTCACTAGAATTCTTTAATGTTTCCCATAAAAAATTCAAGAGTTGTGCAAAAAACGCTGTTTTAGGTTAGTTAGTTTGAGTTAACTTGTAAATGTTGATACCTCGGTTGATACGTTAATAAATAAATAAAAATAATAATAATTAGATATAAATCTTAATTATCGATATAATAAATATAAATAAACAACCTCGTAAACAACTCCTCAACATCATATTCTAGAATCTCAGGGGATATAGACATATTATTATGAGAGAAAATTTTATACACACATAACAGATTTTTTAACACATACATAAATCATACTCAGACATCGTAGTCACGAAATTGATAGGATACTATTTTAACACCTTTTCAAACCTACATGCAAAATCCCATTGACTCAAACCACGTCGAAATATGAAAAACTACTCTTAACAAGTAAAAATCCATAAATATTCAGATTTTCGTATGTTTTTCCCTTCAGGGAATGTATTATTGTATCCCTACTTAAACTCAAACTAACCCCCTTGACAAACAATAGTGCATAAATAGACCTATCTATTTTACCAGACAAAGAGGTAATAATACGAAAACTTCATCAAATAAAAAAAGACACAGAACGCCTATTGCGCAAGACGAGGCACAACGTACCAAATTATGTTAGACTTACGTACGTAAAGCAATCCGTCCTTCTTATTTGCACAGGATAAAAAGGAAAGGAGAAAAACCGCGTGTTGTGCAACGTATTTGTCAATGAAAATGTCAAACAACTTTTGAATGACATTTGTCAAGTTGAATATCAACTTGCTTCAAAAAAGCCTTAGTGATGATTACTGATCTTTTAAAATATGATTTGTATCGGTCTAAAGTTATCGGCCAATGAAGGGCCGATATGCCGATACACCGATATACCTGAAAAAGGCCGATACACCGATATGCCATATCGGTATCGGTCGATCCCTGGTGACAAGCCGGTGACGTTCATAAGGAGAGCATTTGTGTTCTGGCCTTTGTTGCTTTCGAAGTGAATTTTATGTGTTTCTACGTATTTTCCATTGGTTTTGATCATATTGTTGTTTTCATAGAAAATTTTATAGTTTTTAGTATGTCTACGTATTTTGTAGTGTTCTGGCCCTTGTTTACAAAGTGAATTTTATAATGCTTATAATTATAATGTTTCTACGTATTTTTTAATTTAATAATAAATTCTGAGATGGAGAGTGAATATCTTAAGGTATCGTGTCTTCAAAAAAAAACCAATCAAAGATTGCTATGGTTTTTTAAACGTATGTCTTAGCAATATATTTTTTTAATTTTGTCAATTAACTAAATGTCAAAATGTCATATCAAAAATCCTGACCAATAAAGAAACAGTAATGCGACGTACGTTTTCGTAGTCAAAGCAATCTTCGATTGGTTTTTGTTTTGAAGACCCGATATTATTATTAAGGGAAAATCGAGCCTCTGTTAGATCCTTTCTTTTAATTGCAGCAATCCATAAAGCCCTGAGTTGTTTTGATAATTCACTTTTGTAGATAAAAAGCCGATGATTTAAAATAGCAGGAACTGAATAAAATTTTACATTAGCCCTGTTACCTCAACTTCCACACCCAATTACGATGCAAATCGCTAACATTTTAATTAACCCAATACCTAAACACACAAAAAAACACAAAATCCGATAATTCAAATCTTGACGTTTGTCCAGAATGTGACAGAATAAACAACACAGTGCTTGACCCAATGCTTGACCCGAACTTCCATATTGAATTTCGTTTTTGACAGGTCAGTAGATTGCCTAATTGGGCAAGTACACAATCTGACAGTTTGACACTATTGACAGTCGCCTTGAGGTAAAACAGGCCCTGAGATCTCTTATTGCCAGTAATAAACCACATAATAACTCTTTTCCGTTGTTATAGATGTCGTTGACAACAACAGAATTGTAAAATACCAGCACATCAAGAACACGTCCGATGTCGATATCGATAACATTGACATGAGATTGACATGTCAACATATGACAATATGCCAAAATATTCATTTGATCATAACCAATGAACTATAACCAAAAACTGGAATGCTAACACATAAGGACGAACGTGAAGCCTAGTGCAGCTGCTGCGGAGGGGATACCTGTTTTTGTCGCACTCATTATGTTAAATGGCGAAAATTGCTTCCAACACGTATTCCAATCGATGAAACCTGTGAAGGGAAATAAGACAAAACTTTCGAAAACGTCATATGACAGCGAGCAACAGAAAAAAACAACATTCCCCCTTGTGGCATCTGTCTTTCATGGCTTCATTTTTTTGGCAGATATGGCAATGTGTGCGCATTCCAGTTATTAGCTATAGTTCATTGATCATAACTAATAATTCATAATGTTTTTCGTTCGCCGGTCTTTCATTGTGTTGTCAAGTGTTTCTAAGGCGGCGTTCCGTATCTTAACCAGAGTTACCGATCGGAATGAAGCGGTTCATCTATGGTAACAGTCTGGTTCCTGAAAATGCGGGTTATGTGTGGAAAGCTTCGGTTCACCTTTGGTTTGGTTTGGCTAGATGATAGAATATTATGTATTTGTAATAAGCAGTCGTCAGGAATGAATGTAATATTTACCTCTTCTTCCATTTTCACTGCAAATACACTTCGAAACCCGAAGAAAAATTAAAAAATTTAAAAAATTATCACCTAACCTAACAAACAAATGTCAGAAATTGAAAAGAAACCGAAACAACCAAAGCTTTTTGATCGGTAGATTCGGTTGACAGTTGGGACCGAATTTTTCAGGAACCGCGTTTCATAACGTAACCAGATTTTAGGAGTGGTTAGGTTACGGAACGGGAACCGGAAAGACCAAGAATGTTGGTTAACTTACGGAACGTCGCCTAAGTGATTTCAAAGTGGTTTTGTGTGCTTCACGAAGACCTTCAAACTTTATAGATTGAAAGATCTATTTTTATCTTTGTTGATTAGATTAATGACAGGTTCAATTAAACATCAATCAGAACTTTGAATAAAAATGTTAAGGATATCCTTAACCATCAATAAAGGAACTGTCTTTTGATCTAATTAACAAAACATCAATTAATTTAAGCAAACATTAATGTTCCAACGTCTAGAATAATTAACAAAACATCAATTAATTTAAGCAAACATTAATGTTCCAACGTCTAGAATAAAGAAATTTGAACACTGTAATGCGAACAGGGCGCCATCTATCATAAAAATGCCTTGAAGCCCTATGTAAAGTAGATGTCTGTAGCGTCGATGCAAAACCAGTAAATAGTGAGTTTCCAATATGGTAGATGGCGCTATCTTGGCTTAATTATGTTGACAACAAAATTTACACTGATATTCCATTCTCGACAGTTTATATAGTATTTATCTCTGAGGTAAAACAAAAATAACTATTACAGTGTTTTTCAAGTTTTTAGCTAGATTTTTTTAAATAAATACTTTTTGTGTGATCCAGAAGTTTCTTGGACTTGCCTAGAGTTTGTTTAGTTGTTAATTGTGGCAGTATAGAAGGGATACAATATCCTGCCATAGGTTTCTATCAATTTTAAGTGACAATGATTTTTTACCTCAAGAAAGAAGAGAAAAATTGATTAATGTTCTTAAGTGCCAAATTATGGAGTAACAACCAGACGTTTACCAGTCAGTTCATAATTTGGCCCTAAAAGAGAAGATCTGACAGAAAAATAGATTGAATATAGAGTAACTATACTTATATATTTGTTCTTGTGACACTTAGTTTTGATATTTGTTGGAAAAAACCTGAATTTAATCCATTAAAGGGAAACCTAGCAAACTTTTAGATAAAAGATCACATAGACTGGAACACAAACACTCCACTCTAACTTTTTTAGAACAAAATAACACAAAAACTTGTAAAAAATCTGTGAAAACCGCATAAAACATAACCGGCATAATCTACACGAATGTAAATAAATGATTTGTTTTACCTCAGGGCGACTGTCAAACTCATTTGTGACGTCACATGGACATGCCCTATATTCAGAAATATGAAAATCTGAATATTTATTCAGTGTGCTGAGCAGGGATATAAAAGCTGTGGATATAGGTCAATAATTATTTGTCTTGATCCCTTTTTGTATACTGGCACGACCTTAGCCATTTAGCCACTTTAAGTTCTTCAGGATATCTGCTGTTTCCAAATTCCCAAAATATAGTTATAAATATTTGGTTTGGACAATGCTTTGTCCCACAGCCCCATAGAAAAGTAAAGTTGTTTTCCGAGATATATCAAATGTCAAAGTACCGTTTTATTGAATGTTAAATTGCACAACTCGTTCCTCATCCAATCAACATTGTTGCTCTGACCGTTCTTCAGATCCTAATGCTATCCCATCCTTATCTTGGATACACTGTATTTGCTTGTTATTTATGGGATTTTCTTAGCAATATATTTTTATTTCTATCTAATGGTTTTCACTTTGTCCATTGAATTTCACAATTAATTTAAGACAATAAAGTTAGGTAAAGTAAAAGGAAAGGATGGTTTAGGTAAACTGCTTTAAACTCCACTTTAAAACTTTTTTTTTTTAATTTCAGTTGAACAATGGAAGAAGGACAAGGATCTCGAATTTCTAGGCCTACCTCATTTTGTAGCTTCAGGCTCTCACATGTTAAACTCTGAAAAATACCGTTTCCTAATTATACCCAAATACCATCGAGACTTGGAGGCCATATTAAAAGAGAAACAAATATTCAACCTAAAAACCGTTTTGGTCATAGCCTCCAGAATAATGGACACTTTAGAGTATATCCATAATCGTGGATATATTCATTCAGACATAAAGGCTTCAAATATAATGTTGGCTCAGGACAAACCTGCACAGAGAAAGTCTTCGAGGTCAAAAACGGTTACTCAAAGGTTTCCGTCGAGGACTCAGACAAAACCCAAATTGCCAAAACCTAACTTGAGGCCTTCAGCTGCAAATATAAACTACTTTGACGATATTCCAGGTCTCGAAGAAGCTCTAAAGGAACATGAAAATGGACCACTTAAATCAGATGTTCGCAAGCCCCAAGGCGATTTACTGTACCTTCTAGACTACGGCTTAGCCTCTAAATATTTACTTTCCACTGGGGAGTATCGTGATTTTAACTGTGACCAGCGCAAAGCTCATGCGGGGACAATACTGTTTTGCTCCAGAGACGCCCATAAAGGTATTTCATCGCAACGCTCTGACTTGGAATCGTTGGCGTATAATATGATTTATTGGTTGACGGGGACGCTACCATGGGTTGAAGATGTGCAAGAGCCCGAATTAGTAGCAAAAAAGAAGAATCGCTGTTTTACGGATGTGAAGAAGTTTTTGCAGATTTGCTTTGAGGATTTTAGTTGTCCAAGATTCATGGTCGAGATGTTTGAGTATTTGAATCAATTGCAGCTCAAGGTAAGATTTGAATTAGTGTTAGGGTAATTTTTAATCAACTCGAAGGAAAACTTTAACACGCGACTTTGATTTGGAACAGGTGGTCATATTTAAATTCCATCTAGAGACAAAGGTCAAGTGAGTTTGCTCGGGCTTTAAATTTTTTACAAAGTTGGTATGTACTTCATTTGAAATTTGACATACTTATACCATATTTTAAAAGGGTTAGTTTGGGTTAATCATCAAATAATATACAACATTTGTCACCCCAGGAATTGCTAAAATAATGTGCCAGCAAGTTTGCTTTTTATTGTTAGAATGATAACACCTTGATCATTTGAAAATTATAAATCTGGAACACTTATAACATAATACGATCATCAAAACTCAAAATTCTTCTGTTTTTCAATACTGACAATGATTATTTATTTGCAGGACACTCCAAACTATGCCTTTTTCCATCAGCTATTCAAAAAAACTATAAAAGAATATGGTTATGTAGATAATGGGAAACTGGACTTTGAAAATTTAGAAGGTTGGGGACAAAAACAAAAAGAACCCCTGAAAGGCAGTCGAAAGGAGAATAATAGAACTGTATACAGAATTCCTAGTTTGTTGTTGTACAGCCCATTGAGACAATTGAGTGCAAATATTTTATTTAAAAGGTTGGTAAAAATTAATTTGAATGATTTTCAAAAAAGTTCCATTTTACTATATGAGAGAAGATACTAGAGACTTTATTTAAATAAAAATTTCAATCATATAGCATATAGGGAAAATGTGATATTAAATATAAAACAAAATTACTACTATAAAACACTAATTTTAAATTACGAATATCTAAAAAATAAATATTTACAGAGACAGACAAATACTAGAAATAGAAATATTCCTAGTATACAAACTAATTTGGAAGTAGGTAAAAAATCATCATTAGTAAGTGCCACAAGACTGTATAATTTATTGCCAAAAAATTTAAAGAATGTAAAAAAAATCATTAAAACTTTCAAATGCAACATAAAGCATTTTTTCATTAGACAAAACATAAATGTATAAATCTTCAATTTCTATCGAATATTATAAAATTACAATGAATAATTTATTTCTCAATTACCTGATATGTATGAATAAATAGAAATTTACAGAAAAAAAAAAAAAAATTATTAAAATGAATGCAAAACTTTAATTGTTCCTAACCAGTAAAAATAGTTTAGTTTAAGGATCTTTACTTTTAAGTACCGGGCCTGTGCACAGACTTCTTGTCTCTTGCAGGGTAAAAATACTATGTAATTTACTGTACTATACACCTGGAATAAATGAATTTGAATTTGAATTTGAATTATTTAAGAATTATCTGATATTATGTCACTTTATACTTTATGTAAATCTTTTCCGTTATGATGATGATAAACACCATCTTCAAAAGTAATAATTTTGTAGGTCTTATTATTTTTTTTATTTTTAGACCAAAACTACGTAACAAAATTAAAGACAAACTAGCAATGGACAGTATGATGAACTGGTCAAAGATTCTCGTGCAGGACCCGGAGACTATTATGAAACAAGCCGCTACACGTAAAACCTCAGAGGATGACAAGACTTTCAATATTCTGGAATTCGATTTGGAGAGTTTGAACCCCACTCCAGCTATGAGGGAAGTTTTCAATTGTGCAGCGGAACGGGTGGACAGATCGCCAGCATTTGTTGGTGGTGATGAGTAAGTAAATTTCAATTTCCATAATAATCTAATTTTTAAAATGACATACCACAAGACAAAAGCCCTTTGGTGGCCAATAAATTCTGAAGGCAACAAAGTCTCCCATTACTATTAAAAATGTGATAAATAATGTTTTTGTTTTATTTTTCAAGATTATGCTCCATAGACAACATAGAAGGCTATACTTCAGAAATGATGCGAGTGCACAGAATAATGATGGAACAAAAAGAATTGGAGCTTGACATGGCAATTCAGGAAAATACATCAAATAAAAGACGCACAAGAAAAAAGAAAATCAACCAATCACCTAGAGCTTCATCTAGGAACTGCCGGAGTAATGGTAAGTGTTGATTACATATCATTGTTACAATTTTTCTGTTAAAAATATCTAGTTATAAAATGCTTTTCCTAGCACCCACGCAACATGGGCTGAGAAAAGCTAAGGTCGCCCCATTCAAGAGAACCTATCGTCTAAGAGGTTAAAATATAATATGTAGTGTTAAATATAACTATTTAATAAGACTGGTTTTGTATTCATAATTTAATTGTATTTTATTTTTTTTTAGTATTCTTTATACATAAGAATCTCTAGCGACAGTTCAAATAACAATAATGTCATTTTCATGTGTTTTGGCAATTGAAAGTAGATTGACACATGCATTTTTTTTACCCAACATAAAGTGCGACAAGTGAGTAAACCTGTGTGAAAAGAATGCGGGCATAACCCTCCTGATTGGTATAGCATAGGTTTTCGTCTTCCCCTCTGCTACTTCATACGTTACCAAGGTTCACTCACTTGTCGCACTTTATTTGGCCAAATTGGAGTCAATTCTGATTCAACCGGAACACCTCTCTATAGTTATAGCTTCATGGAACATTCACAAAAGTTGAAGTGTTTTTGACACAAAAGACAGCCTAATATAAAAAAATTCTATTGTCTCTTTCTCTTTATATTTGTGAGAAATTCTAGATTTTGTGTAATCTGAAGGAGTGCGTATATTTAGTCCTACGAATAAAAATCACAAACTGGCTATCAAACCAGTTTGATTTTGCAAAAGTATGTATGTGCAAGTATTAATCTACGTAATTATGTGAGGAGAAAATACTTTTTATTTTGTAGATGCAAATTTTCCTTAGAGAGTAGAATAATGCGTATTTTGTTTTGGCAGGTTATGGCTGTGGCAATTCTTTGATGGTAGAGTAAAAATTTGTTGTTTTCTATTGAGGTCTAAAAATTATAATTGTGATTCCTAAATATGTACGCCTAAGGGGGGATATAAGGCAAGCGATACACTCCCTGATGGAAATTTTGTGAACTTCATTGTTATACATTGGCGATTTGTATGCATGTTGAACTCAGCGATCAGTTGATTTATCGGTATTTTTGTTGAAACCCATTGTTTGTTAATCTATGCTTTATTTAAGTTTTTATTTGTTCCTTGTTATACACTGAAATTGAATTATCACTTATTGTTGTGTTCCACGATGCCAATCCTGATCTTAATACAATAAAAGCACCGATTTGCTCTGGAAAATGTCCAGAAAGTGTGGCATTGCCTGTTTGTTCAAAGCAGCCTCTTCCTAAAGTCAAAATGAGTATTAATTAAATTAAAAATTTGGGATGAATCACTGTTTTCATAAGAAAAGAGATTGGTTTGAGTAGTTTTTCAGGGTTAAGTATTTTCCAAATTATCGACAGTTTTGTAGAAACGAGAAAAGTATTAATATACCTACAATAATGATACAAGAACACAATAGCTGCAACTTGAAAATTGAAGTTATGCACCAATATTTAACAATGTAGTTCAAGTAGTGGCTGCCGCAGCGCTGCGATCTTGATTTAATTTCCCAATAGATAACAAAAAATATGTACTTTATACATATATCTTTTTTCTAATAAAATTTAAATGTATGATTTTAATATGATCAGTTTACGGTAATTTTATAGTTGATGTCCAACTGACTGGTAAAGTGAACTTAAACGCCCGCCAATTAATTTATCAGCGACTATTCAATAACACATTTATTATGGATTTAAATTCATTTCAATATTTGCACTAGCATTTATTGAATCAAAAAATTGTTGTTTTTGATATAGGTACCTACTACATATTTCTTTAGGTAATTGCATTACTATTGAGTTAAGAAAACTAAATATAATTTTTTCAAAATAAATTACCTTTAATTTTTGGTTTGGTAGTATGTAGGTACAGGGTAAAAAAAAAAAATTGAATCGGTTAAAAAATAAAAATTTTAGTGCTACAACTTTTGTATTTACACCTTTCACCTAGCACCTGTAATTACAGCTGCAGGTGGTCAAAATATAGTGACTCACCCTGTACCTACTGTACCTATGTGATTTATTCCTGGATTTGTCTGAGTTCAAAAATAGTTTATGTTAAGTACTGAGTCTGGGAATTACTGAAACTTTTCCTAGACTCACTTTATGATAAAGTCAAGAAAATTATGGATAATTTCCTATTATTTTTTATCTACATAGTGATATAGTAATAAATTTATTGTTAATTTTTTTAATTTTTAAGCCTTTGGCTTGCTTAGTTAGTGGACCATCTGTCAAAAATATGTATTTTTCTTCCTAAGTAATAGTATATCATGTAAAGAGTCTGGAAAGAACTAACACTTTTGGATGAGTAGACAGATGCTAGGGCAAGGTGTAGCTGGGTCCAGAGTGCAGGAAGGCTGATGAAATACTTTCCAGGCATTTTACGTTTACTATTTTCAAGCAACAATATGAAATAAAAACAAAATGGATATATTTGTATTTTGATTTTCATATCCCTAGGTAGGTATCTGATTTTTCCTACGACCACGCTGGTTCTTTGGAAAATGCTAAATATCACATACTTGCCAAAAGTACTTTCAATAAGAGTACTAAAAGCACTTTCAGCACATATTTGGGAAATACTGTTGACATTAGGTCTGTTTCTGTAGAAATCACAAACCAGTCAGAGTGAATTTCATTAGTTGAAACTAGTTTTCTGACTGTTTTCAACCAATGAAATTCACTCTGACTGATTTGTGATTTCTGCAGAAACAGACCTATTATTTGTGATTAATATCACAATTTACTTTTAATACGTGGGTTGAAAAATAAAAATACAGTTCAGCAGGTGTGTTGGAAATGAAAAGAAATAAAATAAGAGAAAATTGGTGTACATCGGTTTCTGGGCGTCTTTCATCAACTTGTGTGATTTTCGCTTCCTACACTTGTCATGTAATAGCTATTTATGCAACAAATGTGTAAAGTGATTGTTGCACTCGCCTTCGGCTGGTGCCACATTCGTGAAAAATGGTGCTTTACGCACGTATTATTTTATTTTATTTATTCACGGGATGTCCCCATTTTTACAAAAGTATAATTACATTAAGTAATTACAAAATATTCCATTCCAACCAATCAAATTAACAATTATAATATAAAATTATTTAGAGATAATCTGGCAACTTAAATAAAACAAAAATAAAAATATTCCATTAAAACTAACATTTTCGCTAATACCTAGATTCAATTTATATTTCTAATATACCTGCTCAGACACTGCTTAAACCCTGTATATTTAGTATCAATCAGATCATAATACTGGTTGAATTCATTTCCCAAAATCTGAATTCTATTAATAGGAGAAAATTTTGTCTTTGCCGTGTATTGCATACAAATTTTTTTCTACTACCGATCCAATATGTGTAAAAAAATAAACTTAGACAAATGCTTCACGCACTAGTGTGTAAAGTATTTTCACTTTATGCACCACTAGTTCGTGAAGTAATTTACCAGAAAAATACTAAATTGACAGTGTCAACATCTGTCAATGACATTACTTTATGCACTAGTGCGTGAAGTGAATTACTTTACGCACTAGTGCATGAAGTGAAATTTTACTTCTTCTGAATATTGAAGTGAGTACTTTACGCACTCTAGTAGAAAATAGTTATTTATGCAACTAGTGTGTAAAGTGAACCTTTTTTCACGAATGTGAATTTTGACAATCACATGAGTGAAAAAAGGTACTTAACGCAAGTATTGCATACAAAATTTTTTCTACTAACAATCAAATATGTGTAAAAAAAATAAATTTTGATAAATTCTTTACGCACCAGTGCGTAAAGTATTTTCACTTTACGCAATAGTACGTGAAGTAATTTACCAGAAAAATAGTAATTTGACAGGTCGACATCTGTCATTGACATTGCTTTACGCACTAGTGTGTGAAGTGAACTACTTAACGCACTAGTGCGTGAAGAGAAATTTTACGTCTTCTGAATAGTAGGTAGAACGGTAGTAGAAAATATACTATTTTGACTAGTCGAACAGTTTTTGTCTGGGCCTATTACTTTCCAGTCTAGGAGGGAACAGAGATGTTTGTACTTGCCCAAAGTCAAAGAAAATCCTATTCCGGAGTAGGATTATCTTTGCTAAAGCTAGAGGGAAAAGCGTCCGGCCGGAAACTGCAGAAAGTATGCCCTTTCCAAGATTAGGTATAAAAGTGTTGATTGTAGAGAGTATTCATTCCAAATTATGGAAGCCCGTTCTGTCTTCCGAGTACTTATTTCATAGTTCTGACGTGATAACTGGAAATTTCTCGCCATACCAAAAGGTTAAATATAAAAAAATATTCTACATGAATCAGATAACCATCATTTTATTCTCCTTCGAGCAAAATGTATTTCAAGTTTGGTATGCCTGATGATCAGCTGACCTCTGCTCAAGTAGCCGATACCTATCATATTGCATTGAACATGAACATCATCCAATATTCTTATAAATGAACATTTTAACTAACAGACTATTGTATCAAGAGCCTTTAGTATACTGTTAATTTTCTTTCTTAATAAAATTTCCAAAAAGAAAACTAAATATTATTTTATTTAAAACGTACAAAATTAATTCAACAAGAAAATAATTAAACATGAATGAATTGCACTCAAATATGTAAATTAAAAACTAATTCAATTAAATAATTAAATACATAGCTATTCGAAAAAGGAAACAATTGTCTGAAACATCGAGAGTAATTTTATCATTTATGGAAGCTAACATTTCCTGGCTAAGTTCTGTATTTTTCTTTTATAAATATTACTATTAACAAACTATATCTATAATCACAAATCCTACAAGATTTACTTAGCTTTCAGCTTTGCAGCAATCTCATCAGAAATATGTAACTCTTTAAGTAACATGTTCATATCTCTAGGTCCCTTTTTTTGCACTATTATCAGTAAATCGTCCAAGCTCTCGTTACAACCTTTTAACCACAAATCAATGGACTGTTGCAATTTTTCTGGACAGTGCCTTTTCCTGTACACTTCAGCTTGTTTCAGTTTTTCTAGTAAATCTTCTTTCTGTTTTACTTCTTTTTCTACAGATGTGACCAGTTCAAGAAGATTTTCACTTTGTTTTTTGTCTTCATCTGGGGTAGATGTGAACATTTCATCATCACTATCTTCAGTTGAAAAAGTCTTTTTTGGAATAATTCGTTTTGCATCTGGTTTTTTTGTTTTAGTTGAATTATTTATTTTTATTATCAATTTCTTTGTATTCGGGCTATGCTTAAAGCCTTTAAAGTCTGATTCGTCAGATTTTTGCTCATTGAAATCAATACATCTTTTAACTGGAGGATCGTGTATCTCTGCTTCAGTTTCAATAAGTGATTTTAATGGCAGATCGTCTGAATCAGAATCGCTATTTATTCGATTTCGTTTTCGGCTTGTTAGTTTTAAGCTCGGTTTAAAGTCTTCATCTGACAAATCAGAACAACTATCTGATTTTTGTACTGAAACTCTCAGTTTTTTCTTGTCATTAGTTCCACGCAATTCATCGTTATTATTGTTGTTTTTTGTTTTCTTAATAGGTTTTTTCAACGATTTTCTAGTATTTTTTTTTGGCTCAGATTCTTTTATTGAGACATCTGCTAAGTTTTTGTTTTCCTTAGGAATATCCAATGTTCCAATTTTTGCTGCAGGGGTAACATTAATGGAATCATGTACAATATTGTCTATTTCAACAGCATCACAGGCAATGATTTTTTTAGTCCTGACGGAGGTCCTAGCTTTTCCTTTGGATTTTGGCTCAGGTTTTGGAGTATCATCTAAATTATTTGGGGTACAAGCAATGTCTTTATCATTGTTGGTTCTACTCTTTGAAGCAACAGACGATAATTTATCCCGATTAATGGGTGTAGAAATAATATCTTGCTCGGTGATGATGCTACTTTTTGGAGTAGGGGTGCTAGTACCATCATTTTTGGCCTTGAAAATATCTAGGGCATTACTGTTTGGGGTTTTACGAGACAATCCAATTCTTCTACAGGGTGTTAGAAAATGCTTGCCTATTCCAGAGGTAATGTAATTTTTGGGAGTAGTATGGTGATTTGGGTCTTTACCATCTTTTGTATTTGATTTCGATTCTTTTGGTGTGGGCATGATTATTTTGTTTTCCTGGAAATCCGCTTATAAATAATTTAGGTTTTAAATATTGGTTTAACATACCCACTAAAAGCAAGTTTATTTATTGCTCAATAATTAATTCATCAACCATGGATCACCTTGGCTATTGCTAGAGTGGTACCGTTATTGGATTGGGTTAGTACGGGCATCAACCTAACTTTGTAATCGCGTTTTGGTTGGTTCTCTTTTCTGTTTTATTTTTATTTGAATTGAATGTTTACAAAATAAACAACAGGTTGGAACTTTTTAAATGAAGAATGACATGACAAATGACAATTAACTAACGATGATGGAATAAAGAGGTTTTCATTCGGATCTGCTAGATCTGCTCGGAACATATTTAGACTTCACTTCTGGAAACAGCGTTTGGAACATTCTCATACGAATAAGAATGCTGATTCCTGATTCCAACGAGTTGTTAACTTTTTTTAAAACCTAGTTCGGTTCAAATCAGAATGAACGTACTCTGATACGATTGGGTTCTCAGTTCACTCTTGGAGCAGGTAAGAAGAGTAGACGGAACCAAGGTTCCTAAAGTTAATAGGTTGTCTGGTAATGGCTAACTCGATGACGCATCTGGGGTGCCTCATGGAGATTTGCATTATGTTGAGGCACCCCAGATGACGTCACAAAGTTATCTGGTAACGTTCTCCCCCTCAAATGCCTCAGCCACCATCCTTAACCTCCTTTAAAGAGAATGTGTTCCAAAAATGAAATTCAACGCATAAAAATTCAGGAACAAATATTTAAATCGCATCGTGCCACGAGTTAAGCCTAGTACTCATAACTGCGAAACTCGCTCTTTTTTGACATTGAATCGACAATTTGACGTTTGATTTACGCATAAAACGTCAAATTGTCGAAGCAATAGGTACATTCAGGCGGTGCCAGAGGCTTAGTTCAGCCACTCAGCGGGAACTTTATTCTCGAAACAGGGGAGCAGAGTTCTCATTGGAACGAAGGTTCTGTCTTTGTCGTCCGGCATAACACTGACAATGACAGAGCAATCGTTCTTATGAGAACGTTGTTCCTTGGTTTCGAGAATAGAGTCCCTGCTGAGTGCTTAGTGGCTGAGCTTAGCCGCTGGGACCGCCTGAATGTACCCAATAGTTCTTTTCACGTGACTCCGGTTTAACTAACCGGGTTACAAAACGGTTAGAGAAATCACATACCGTTTTCTAACCCGGTTACAAAGTGACGTGATGGATACCTATTACCTACCACTCGAATTTGAGCGGTATGTTGCGGTTTGTTAAACCGGAGCCACGTGAAAAGAGTTGTCAAAAAAAATGCGAATTTCGCAGTTATGAGTACAAGGCTTTAGGGTGGTTTAAAGTTACGAACTCCTAGGCTGTGACGTCCCACCGGCTTCGAAGGCGCAGTATTAACACGTGTGAATTTTCCAAAACGAATCTCATCGATCATCGATCTTACCAGAGCGAATTGGAACCATTCAAAGTATAAATAGGGCACGATTCACTACATCCACTACGACGACTGAACGAACAGAAGGCTGCGATTTCGGCGGTTAGCCGGTGTAACGTCACATTCGTATCGAATTGTCAAAATAGCGATTCTATTTTCAGATTTATCAATACCTATCACACGGTAAGTCCAGAGCTATCGTATGCGATATGGAGACAATTCGACTCGACTTGTAAAATAGAATCCGGGGCTGGGTTTTTTCGGTTTGTTTCCAATTTCTGACATTTGTTTGTTAGGTTATAATTTTTTAATTTTTTAATTTTTTTATTTTTCTTCCGCTTTCGACGTGTATTTGCGGTGGAAATGGAACAAGAGGTGGATACTACATTCATGGCTGACGATTGGTTATTACAAATAATTTTTTTTTTTTTAAATATAAAAGTCAAAATGACATAATGTTGGCAATACACAGTGCCGGATTTACCAATTTGCCGCCCTACGCCTGTTTAGAAAGGCCGCCCTCGTGATGGCATCAGGGGCGGCGCGTGCCTTAAAAAACTGGGAGGCCAAGTAGATACAGGACACGGATTCAGGGCCGGCTCCAGACATTTCAGCACCCTGTGCAAAAGATTTTATTTTTGCCGCCCCTCTTATACCGATTATTTTCCTACTTTGTAGTTCTCATCAGGGGTAAGGCATAACTCGAGGATCAACATTGCAGACACGTATGTTTACCCTGAAGTTAAAGCCAACCTGGAGCTAATTCGCTATTTGAAAAATTGACCCAAATAACACCAAAACATAACCTGCAAATCGCTTAGCGGACGCGTAAAACTAAGCTTGCGATAGGTGTTTTCGGGTTCTCGTTTTCCGAACTGTTCGCGAACCATCCTGGAACTGCGCAGAACTAGTTGCGTACTTATTCAGTCCTTAGGACTACTGTGCTCAAATTGTTTATGGCACTGAGTACCGAGTCCAAGTCTGGCAGTGATAGGCGAACGAAATCCCAATTTGACAGCGCTTGTGACGTTGAGATTTTGTAAATATCAAATACGCAGCAAACGAACTCCTGCTGACGCAGTGCTATTTTTATGTTATTCAAGTGTGTTAAAGTTTGCTTTTTATGAAAATTGTCGCAATGGATAAAGATTATTGTGAAGGACTGCTTCTGTATTTTTTTTTAACGTGCATGTTCCCTATCACAGATTTCCCTATAGAAGAAATCATTATGAATGACTTTGGCAGAAAGTCGACTCGACAAACAAAGTCATATAACCTATAAATAGCATTGTCGTTATTAATTTTTTTTCAATTTTGGGCTCAAATCAAATTTATTAATTATGGTAGTTTTGGGAGAACGTGATATGTTTTATCGAGAGGCGATGAAGCGATGTGTGTTTGGTGATTGTAAAAGTGATAGTCGAACGAGTTCCATTAAATTAACGACCCCATTTGCCTCTAGTGGAGTTTTAGGTAACACAGGATCTGTCACATCACTTTCTGTTAATTTTATCAAACATTTTGCAACCAAAGAAGCCATAGCGAATGCACCAAATACTTACGAAAGCGTAGATTTGACAAGATGCTGTGTTACCTTAAACTCCAGTGGAGGCAAATGGGATCGGTAATTGATTGGAACTCGTTCGACTATCACTTTTACAATCACCAAACACACATCGCTTCATCGCCTCTCGATAAAACATATCACGTTCTCCCAAAACTGCCATAATTATTAAATTTAAGCCCAAAATTGAAAAAAAAAAAAATAAATAACATTGACAATCTTGACAATGCTATTTATAGGTTTTGTGACTTTGTTTGTCGACTTTCTGCCAAAGTCATTCATAATGAAATCTTCTATTGACGGGTTTGTTTACAGAATCGTAACGTCAAAACAGGTATCCACATAGAAGCATTGTTTTAGCGGGAAAATTTTTATTTTAAATTTAATATTATTTTTTTGTGTATCAAGGGCGGTATCAGTTAAATAAAAACTGGTCATACGAATATTGTGCAGCATAAACTATCGATTTAAAATAAATTTGGGAAATTTTAGTTCACTTGCAAGTTCCCTATTCTAGTGGGGTTTTTTTACCCAACAATTCCTCTGAGATTTTGGCCGCCCTTCGATTTTGCCGCCCCGTGCAGGGACACAGGCTGCACGGGTCCGGAGCCGTCAATATTAACGGGTATGTGATCGTCGCAACGGATAATTTTCTCATAAAACGATAGCTCATAGTTACCTTTAAACTAAATGGATGGGTTGTCTTAATTCTCATGGCAGCAACTCTTTGGTAGCTGGGCGTAAACTACCCCTCTTTTTTCGAAGTAACAATGTTATCGTTGCAATAGCTGGAAATTGGTAGATATATTCTTTATTATGTCTCTCATTGAAAGTCGAGCGCGCGCGTTCTTTTGCTTGCCGAATACAAATTTTTGAAAGTGACAGCTCTTAAAGTCACTTTTTAAGTTAGAGGATTCTGTGAAGAGGATTTTGCATACGGCTGTAGGTTGATAAGTCCTTGCTTAGATTCCTTGTATTAGTTATAGAACGCACTAATTAATTGTTGGTCATCTGTCATCATCTGTCTTTAGATAGTCTTGTCCAGGCCCTGCGATCTCTTATTGCCAGTTATAAACCACATAATAACTCTTTTCCGTTTTTCTAGATGTCGCTAACAACCACAGAATTGTCAAAATTGGAAAATACCAGCACATCAAGAACACGTCCGATGTCGATAACATTGACATGAGATTGACATGTCAACATATGACAATATGCCAAAATATTTATTTGATCATATACTAATAATTCATAATGTTTTTTGTTCGCCGGTCTTGCATTTCATCTTTCTTTGTGTTGTCAAGTGTTCTTAATGGCCGTTTCCACCAACGCAAACTTAAGTTTACTTAACGTTAAGTGCCGCTTACATTTTAATTTTTTTTCCACCAGTCTCACCTAGTCTCATTAAGATAAGCTTAACTAAGCCCAGAAATGTCTTGGCTTATTCCTCCCTTAACAAAGTGGCGATGATAAGCGCAAGCATTTGCATAATATGTTTTTGTTGGCATAACAAACGTTGAATTGAGATAATATTAGAATTTTCTCAATTTTCTAATTTCTGATGTAGCTCGCGTTTTTTTTTTCTCCCAAAGCCTATTTTTTTTCGGCCGTGTTTTTTTTATTTTCGATTATGTTCTTATTTTTTGATGTTAACGATATTATCAGCTCTTTTTCCTTTATTGTATAGTTTGATGTCGGCTTTTTTTAGGGCTTCGCAAGACCAAGATCAAGACCAAGACTGGCCAGTCTTGGTCTTGGTCTCGAAAAATAAATGCGGTCTTGGTATTGGTCTTGGTCTTGATGTTTCAAGACCGAGACAAGACTGGCTCAGTCTTGGTCTTGGTCTTGATAGTCTGGGTCTTGGTCTTGATAGTCTTGAAAAAAAAATTTATACCAAATTTTTAAAATACACATAACATCTAACGACAAAGCAGAGATAATGGGTTTAGGACTTCAAAAATAAAAAATAAACCTCCTTTCCTGAAAAAATTATGCCGACGTTTCGACCATGCATTTGGTCTTCTTCACAGGCTATTTTTACCACCAAGAGCGTTCCATGTCAAAAAAATACTGCATAAAGCATTCCACAACACAGAGGAACAAACAAACATCAATTCTTAAATTATAATTTTTATTAACGGAACAGGAAAGTCGACAAACACATCATGAAATTGGAAATTGCCATTCTGTACCGAGGAAAAAAATAGATTTCTTTTTGAACCA